CCTGTCTCCAACTGGGAATGGCCCAGTTCAACATTACTCCCTACAGCTTTAACATCAGTAATAACCAGACCTCACTTTGCTATAGGGTTACAGAATAGTTTTCCTCAGCAACACCCCACACTATCTTACCTTTGCTCCCAGACAGCAGGACAGGCAGCTTTCCCTTCCATTCCCACATGGATTAGCTCTGTCTTTAGAGGTTCCTCAGCATCTTCAGGACAGCTGGGACTTCAAGGCATTCCTCAGTGCGAGTGAAAGAGCAGTATGACTAGAAGGACTTTCAGAGCTTGGGATGCTTTTTCTCCTGGTCAGCTCTTCCCAAATCTTCCTTCTTAAGAATCCACAAGAGTCCTCCAGAAGGCTTCTACCTTCATGCAGTTCTACTGTCGTTCATTGTTTCTGCTGCCTCAGAAATAAAAATACGAAAATTGCAATTGTAGCTGCTCGTTGGGCAACCGTGCTGGCCTTGAGGACTCTGGCAAGAAGGTGCAGCCATCCTGCAGGCTCAGGCTATGCAAGGCACCAACTGCCAGGTAGGGCTTGGGGTCTCCTGAGCGTACCACAGAACGATGCAGTGCTGCCCTAGTGGGACAGGATCCCTGGCTGAGCGGAAGCACTGCTTGTAGAGGGTGTGTTTTCACCCAGGAGCCCTCAGAAATGCAGGTACCAGCCTTCACGGCTCTGGCCCAGCTGTTACTTCTAAGCGCCAACACTGTATCTTGAGGCAATCTGACAGGCTCAGAACACGCACCCACACACAGAAGATCCAGAGGACTTTATACTTAAAATCCATCACTGTTTAATGCCAGGGCTTGTTCAAAGATACTGGTCTACACTATTTTCTTGGTGAAAGCCTTCCACAAATTTCAAGGGAAGAGGCTGTATTTTGATCCCTATTTCTGCTCTAGTGCCATCAAGTGATTCAGAAAGCCTATTCCAGGCAGGACTTCTTCATTTGAAGACTGTTCTTCAACAACTGTCTGGGCATTCTGCCTTCTTCACTGACACACACTGCCACCAGCAGCCCTTTCCAGGAAAGGGAAATATCATCTCTTCATTTTCCCTTCCCCTTTCAGGACCCCTGGGATGCTCATCCAGAGTGCTGCTCTTGCCATCACACACATCTCAGGCATTAGTGTTTGTTTTGGTTTGGTTTTAATACGAGTTAGTGCCATGCTGCTTCTCCCACCTTTCTGCTCCATTCTTGTGCAGGAGACATTCACCTTGCACAAGAAATACCATCGAGCTGTTTGAACTGGCAGCTCACCGGAGGCAGTCCTGCTTCTGCACGGAATGACAGCAGCCATCAGACCTGCTGGACTCGCCCGGCCCTCAGCTCTGCTTTGCTGCACCCCACTGCAGATGGGGCATGGTTCTCACCCCCAGAGCAATCGCGTTTCTTTTCAGGGAAGAGTACTACTAAGAAAAGAAGGGATCTAACACGTAAACGTACCTTTTCACCTTGGTGTTTGAGCAGCTCTAACTCCTCCTTACAGGCTTTGATCCTTGTCACCTTCGTTGACCTGCTAACTGGAGGAATGCACATTTTTCATCAGTCTGTTAAGATCCATCGGACCATAAGCGACGCCACCACCTTGCTGAAGAGTCTCCATCCACACCGCTGTTCAGAACAGCAGCAGTGCAACACAGTAACAATCCCAAGGGTTGTGCAGACAGCTTATTTTTTCTTTTACCGGGACCCACGTTACACAGTAACGGAGAATACTTAATTTGTTTTGCAGTGTAAAGAACGCACTATGTTTTTAAGATTTGAAAACCAAAGGTTACTAACCATTAGCTGGGTTACTGAGATGTATAATCCACACAAACACCTCTTCCCACTTTTGCTGTGCTCCACGCTAGCTAACGCAGCTGCAGGTGCGATGAGCGGGGCAGCACACACTGACGGCCGCGCGCTGGTGGCAGCAGCATGAGGGAGGATGGCTAGAGGCTCCCCACAGCAAAAGGGGGGCCAAAGTGGCTTCAGTCTTCAGGGATCACACACAGTTTATGTACTTTTTTTTTTTTTTTTAAACCCAAAGGGAGGCAAACTGACCCACAGTTTTTGACAGCTTATCACTTTTTCTACCTAGACTCGTTCTGCATAGAGTCCTCCTGTAAGTGCCAGCCGAGCTACACAACTTACCATTCCAACAGGACAGGAGCTCAGAGGATGCCTGCAGCGTAAGTAAAGTCAACAACTGTAGGACTAAATGCTGGCAACCGCTTCTGATGTTCCCAGAAAGTAAATAGTACCCTGGAAGATAGCCACTGACACTTCTCAAGGATGACTTCCACAAATGTAAGCAAGATAAGATTTCAGAACACAGCAAGACCTAGTATTCCCATGCCTTTTATAGCACGGAGAACAACAACCAGAAACAGAAACACTGCTAATTTGTTTTTCCTGAGTTGTTTCTTTTCACCTACTACAGTCGATGGATCTAAGGTCACTAGGAGGGAACAAACAATGCTTTTACAAAAAAACCCAGTTTGTGTTCAATGGTGTAGATAATTTCTTCTACATGTTTTGAAATTCCCCTCCTTATTCCTACACCTCCATGGATCTTTCACAATTTGATCTTTTTTAACCTAAAGGGAAAATTGTGCTTGACATACAGCAAAATCTACCAAAGTATCTTTTGTGGTTTTGTAGGCAGCAATATGTTTTTTCTTTTCTTGTGAAAAGTCTCACGGATCACACGTATAAGCATGAAATTTTTACATCCCTGGCATAGTGTAACAGATCTCAGGCTTCTTGGGCTAGTTTCAGAGTAGTAAGTTGTTAAACTTTTGGCTTTAGGGACTCTAAATTTGGAGGCAGATGGTATGGAAGAAGCAGATAGTAGGAGATGGACTAAAGAGAACGAATTGATTCTAGGATGCCATCAATGGGAACAGCATCTTTGGTACTGCTCAAAGGGTGCTGATGGTTCTCCTGGTGCTAAGATTTCTGCTAATGAAGAAAGATGTCCCCTCCTTCCTATCAGTCCCTGTTTCCATATGTAAGAGGGCATTCCCTACATGAACCAGCTGCTGCTATACCCCAAGGTTTTGCCAAAGGAGCCTTTCCAAATCTGAATACACAGAAGTGCACTGACAAACGTGTCTGGGAAACAAGAATTCCATCTGTAAAAAAGTGCTGTAGATTTCAGCATTTAGGATTGCTCTTATGTCAGAACTTGTGCCTTCTGTGTCCTGATTTAATTGCATACTCTTTTGCTAAGAAACTTTCTGAGGAAAAAAAAAAAAATTGATTGAAACAGGTTTGTTGGTGGAAATATAAATGGACTAAGATAAAACAGAGTCAAAACACTACCAACTTGTCCTGACCTTTGGTTCTACTTTAGATATAATTCTAATTTCCATTTTCTATGAGCATATTAAATCTACCTAATTAGACCAGAGCAGGCGACAGAAAAATCCAAATGTGTCCATGTGGCAACTCGCAGTGGGAATTTCATTTTTCATTTCACTGGAAAAAAACCTGAGTCCCACAGATGTGACAAAAGGTACCTAGATAAAAAGTAAAATAAATCACTTTTAATATTTGTAAGTTTTTAATATTGAAGTTGTCTAGATTTTAAGATATGGGGTTTCTATAAAGATAATAATCCATTTTTACTCTGTAAAAGTGTAGTAAACCCAAAAATTCAAATATTTTATTTACTTCACCTAAAAAACACGCAACCCATAAGTAAGATATACATAGGTTTCCCAGATTTATCCCTAATAAATTTTTTTAAGATTTATACAATTTCTACAGAAACATACAGTGTATCAAAATCTGCATAAATCAAATTTATAAAATATGTAGAAATGCATAGTGATATTATCATCAACTTACAAAGCAAGAATATGGGAATTATTTTTTTCCAAGCCAGCTATAGTAGGAAAAAGTCATTACAGCAACAGCTTCTTATGATCTCATGTTTTGTAAGGTTTCAGTCTCACAAAAAGATTCATGTTCACATACAGCATCAGCTTTCAATGAATTGCACAAAATACCCATTTAAAATGCACACCTGCACAATTTATGTGCCACCATTCTTTCTCTTATGCATAGTCATATGATTAAATTAATCTACCCAACACACAAAAACAGAGTCAGTTTTCATACACACAAGGAACAAGTACCAGCACACACCCTTATTTTCCTTTTTTTCCAGTTTCTCCCTCCTTTATTTTCTGTTTTTCATAGCTCTGAAAGGATAGATGAGAAGCTTAAAGAAACTAGGAAAGATCCCAAACTAATAGATCAGTGCAGACAGCCCTATAAAGATCAAACTCTGTCACCAAACATGATACATAACCCTTGTTAACACCAATGGAAGCTGCATGCAACGCTATTCTAGATTTCAGGGAAGTATTTAGTCATATTTAATAGTGTGACATGTTAGAGGCATAACTCTTAGGAAATCAGTACACTGATGTCAACATTTAACAGTCACAAAATCCGGAATACAGAAGTGAGGATAAGTCATTTCTCCTCCACACCTCTGTTCATTCTGAGTCAGTATTTATACTCCTAAGGGAGTTTACATAAACTCCTTTCCAGAATGTTTTTAGAAACTTGTTCTTCATGTATCTAGTCTGTACACTATAGCACCAAGCGGTTGTATTTTGTGTTTGTAATCCCTCAGGAAAAGTCTCCAATGGCAAAAACAAGAAGAAAATTAGTATGGGTATACGTGGTTTCAGGATTTCCATTTCTCTTTTCAAATCTAAATCTGGCATCCAAATTAGTTGACAGACGTCTTGTAAAGAATTACGCAGATGTGTTGAGGAGCTGGATGTTTTTTCCTCATTAAAAGTTTTAGTCCACCTCTAAGTGATTGCCATTTAAAATAACAAGATAAATGAGGCATTGGATTCTTTCTAAGTTTTACATAATTATGCAGCTTTATTTTCTTTTTTAAATTTGTTTTTTAAAATTATTTCTATGTAAGGCATGGTTTAAACAAGCAAGTTACTGCTCATAAAGTTGTAACCGGAACTGTGAGGGTACTTTCACCAAAATGTACCACATTAGTGCTAAACTCGACGCTAAGCTCTTCCTTGCACCGTACGCAGCGTCCAGTCGAAGTAGAGCAGCCAAACTGGCAACAGAAATTTGTCTTCAATTAACAAAATAATTACACAGGGTGGTACAGTTGGTACCTACCCCTAGCGACAGCTCCAAAAAATCGATTGTATAATTTCCAACAAATGCTTTTCTTGTGAAAGAGAGAAATGAAAGAGGCACTAAATATGCTGAAATTCACCTTCCAAAAAAGCAGCATGACTGTGAGAGAAGGCCACCCTGGCTAATAACCTGTGGCAGTGCTTAGTAAGATGTAAAATTAAATAAACATATACAACAGGTTGATAATCACCAAGTTCTATGAAAATCTGGTTACTCCAACCTTTTCAAGTGTGTGTAAAAAAACTGCCTTCAGACCCCTGAGTGTAATCCCAAAGAAGACGACGACGCTTTTAGCTATATTCCTATGAAACATAGCTAACAGCACATTAATTTACCAACATCTTAAAACAAAAAGATGTAAACATCTACAGAGTTTAAGGTAAAGCAGTTTTGTAAACATTAACTGCAGATGATAATGTTATTGTAATAATCACAGTTCGTCTATGTCCTTCATCCAAGCCAGGAGGCTCGCAGCTGTACAAAGTTAATAATTGCAGCAGTTTTCAGGCTATTTTCAGTCCTGTACAAATTAATGTGTCAGTAGGTAGGTTTTGTCTGTCTACACACTAAGGATGTTGTTCATTTCCCATTTTTGTGTTGCTTTACTAGAGTCACACTCTGAAACGAAAACTTGATGGAGGACTTCGGAGCGATCCAAGCACTTCCCTGATGGAATGTGAGTAAATCTGTGCAGATTCTGGAAAACAAAACAATCAGGAACATGGGTGGGGTTTTTTTTGTTCGTTTGGGTTTTTTTTTTTTTTTTACATTTTCTTCACAACTGTGATATAGCTATTTACAAAACCAGGTTTCAGGGTCCCAGAACAGATCAGTTCTGTACTCATTTTACTGTTTTTTAAACCTAGACTTTCACAGCCTTCACATTATGAAACATTTGATTCGTGTAGGTCCACTTGAGACACCTCCCATTTCTCTCAGGCAACAAACTGCTAAGAAAATGAGCAAAACCATGTCTAAAATGCTTCCACCCTTTTCATTCATCCTGTAACCAAAACAAAAGATTAACTCTCAAGGACAGCTAACTCACTGGACAGATGAAAACTGACTTCACTGGGCAGATCCTCCTTTGGTTAGCCCTCACGTGAAACAACTGCCCAACACCAACGTTAACCACTCTGGGGAAAAAACAAAAGCAGTAACTTTGCTCTCTATTTGACTGGCAGAAGGAAGAGAAGAGGGTATGAGAGCAAGTCTGGCCTCTGGAGCAACAGGAGGCTGCCTAAGTAATTGCAGACCTATTGTGCCCAGCACATTCAGGCTGAGACTCGCACGTTTTGCTCCTTCCATGCCCCCCGTGCTGCCATGCCTGAGTCTCAGGCATTTGCAAAGCAGCCCTTGGCTTCTCTCCCACTTGCTCACCCCGCGCACCAGATGCAGCCCTGACTCGCTGACCAGCTACATCTAGTGTGGAGAGTGACAGAGCAGAAGCAGACCCGCAGCACTGTGTCCAGTCTGGGGCTCCGCAGTCCTGCCCCGTGCACCCAGCGCCCACGAGAAGACACGCTCCGCCTGGCACAGGGTCCTGCTCCATCACCCCGTCACTCCCACACACATGTGCATGTCCGAACGCTGGTTCAGCTCCCTTCCTGCTCCTGCTGTGTGGCCAGACATGGGGGTCCTCTCCTTGGAGAGGTAAAGAGACGCCTGAACAACAGCAATAAGCAGGCCACCACCAGCCCTATTCTGGATGTTCGCCCATGGGCACTGAAGCCCTGCTACAGCTCAACGCTCAAGCAGCACAGATGTTACGCTCACCAAGCTGGCACACAAATGTTCATTCCAGAAACAACCAACCAACCAGATAAAAATCTCCTGGCAGCTTTCATTTACAGGACGCCACAACATTTTTCAGCAGTTCATAAGCATTTCATTCTTTACGCTCTCCTCATTAGAAGAAACAGTCATACCCTCTGCACTGCAGAGCAGAGTGCCAAATTTCTAGTATCTGCTCGGTTACACACCCTTGGTGGTCCTTTTGCTCTCACTCCCCCTTTTTTTCGTCCTTCTGGAAGCCAGTCAGTGTTTTGTTCTACAGCCCAGACCATGCCTACTGGGCTTCCTTATAACTTGCGGTAATAACCAAACAATTACACAACTTGGTACCACTGTGGAGGAAACGGATCTTCTTGCGTAAAAGAAATGCTTCGTGAAGAGCCAAGTAACATGCTGGGACACACTAGAATGGCTGGAGAGTTAGCAAGTGCTACATATTATTCCAACATTAAAGCAGAAGTGGGCAGGCACTGAAACACTGCTTACTGATTTTTAGAATTTTGTCTGTCTATAAGGCACAAGGAAGCGGGGTGGAAACGGCATTACAGTGCTCGACATTTCCTTGCTCTATGCAAATATCAGAAAAAGTGGAGTGGCTTAAAGGATAACAGATTTCGCTGCACTCAGCAGTGCCTACAACTTTCGCATAAACACAATCCAGATAACCAGCTAATGAATTAATTAATATGCAATATGTTAGACTGAAGAAAAAGCAACATAGGAGAAAAATCGGCACAGAAGAATTTCTTAGACACAGAACCGAGTTATGTGGAGCTATATCCAAGGATAACGTCACCCTTAGACTATTCAGTCTCATTTTTTAAGAGACAAACACAAATATAACTTTAGATATTTTTTAAAATAACACTTTCAAAGCTAGAATTAATAGAGGACTTACAGATGTAATGACTAAATAGACTGTAGAAGCCTTTGCATGTATATCAGCCAACATTCCAAGTCTTTATTAAAAATGCGTGGATTTTGCAATAGCAACATAATGGCACCACACCCAGAATTCACAACAGAGCATGTTATTAGACAGCAGCTAATGAACAGGAAAAAGAAATACTGAAGAAGGCAAAGACAACACAAAAAGGCAGAGTTTACCTGTTCCTATGTAGGCTTAAAAAGATCTTCTGTCTTTAAACAGAGCAGCACTTCAATTTACACCTCCCAAAATTAGCTATAATATCGACCCTAGCTGCTAAATACACCTCAGCATTTAAGTAATCTTCTCATAGTGTCCATTAGATAAAGAAACTTTCTTGATAGAAAGCATATGAGCAGAGAGGGCGATGGCACAAAAAGCTTTTAGAAATTCTGTCACTGGTAGTGGACATCCTCTTTGCCTCCTCCGAGACAAGTGCTAACTCCTAACATACCTGTGGCAGCACATGTAGCCTCATGAGATTGTCCTTAAAGACTTTGCTACAGAAGACAGCAACTAGATCCCCTACCAAAAGCATCTTTCCC